CTGTTTGGTTAGTGCTAGTTTACACTTGTGAGACCTTGAATCTGCAATTGAGCGACACCAATCGGCTGGATATTTTGAACAATCGATGCCAAAGTGGGATGGTGTGAGCATTTTAGCAACCTAGGGGTAAGTCCTCGTGTGCTTGAGAAGTCATCCGAGAAAGTAATGCTATAAAATGGAAGTCATTATTAAGCTTCGCTGATTAGGAAATGTTTTCGCGCATGCCTATCGGTCATCTACCGCGTCGCTTCTTATTTGGAGTCGCCGGTAAGGGCTGAAGAAAATCACGTGGAGGTTAGCAGAATACGTCGGGACGAGCCAGGAAGCAATGCAAAACGATCAGGCAAAGGTCTCTCATCCTCCAGGTTGAAGTCAAAAAGACCTCGTAATTGTTTAGCTGGAGACAATGAAGGGTATGACAATACCGGTTCACTTTCCTACCCGCACTCTCAAAATAGGCCCAATCCCTATCCTTCTTATACGTTCTCACTTACCTTGCATACATTATGGGTTTGGCAGCAAGCAGTGAGCTTCGCTTCACTGTATTACACTGTGCGAAGATGATGCAGATGCTACGACCAGAAATCAAAAACCATAAAGACCATAGAAGGATGTGAGGTAAGACGTGGGTGACAAACGATAAACTGGGTTAAAGGATGTTTTCACCGAAGAAAGGTTATAGGACGCCATAATGGTCTATTTGTAGTCAGCAGACGCTTTTTTATTACACACATCTGTGTAAAGAACAGTAAATGGGGTAGAAATCAGTCTCGGAAACCTGCTGTTAGTGATGGAAACCGGCGCAGGTTCAAAACATAAACGATGAATCTCGTCGACCTCCGCTGCCCTACTGGACGCCCGCAGAACCGTGCCTCCGGATGCCACGTATGACGCAGCGCGCAAATCCCTTAAAGGCCAGCTCATCAAGAGTCTGAGGAATGACCGCGAGAAGTGGCGGGTGGAGAGCTGTAGAGAGATGAAAGAGGCTGCGGCTTTCAGCAATAGTCGCAATCTTTTTCGTCTAAGTACGAAAACAGGCCCCAGGAAAGTAGGCATGAGTGAGGTGATAAAGGAATCTAATGGCACACTGATTCACGATCAGCAACGCCGTCTTGATTGAATGGCCAAACACTTCAAGGCTCAGTCAACTGGTCCTCATCGACATCTGATCTTTCACCCTCCACCTTGACTGTCAGTTGATGCTAGTCCACCATCTAAAATGGAGGTTACCCGAGAAATAAGTGATCTCAAAAGGCATAAGGCTTCCGGCCCCGGCAGGCTGTCCACATCGGTTTTAAAGATAGAGGTCCAGCCTTCGTTTTGGAGTTAACAAAACGCTTGGGCTCAGTGTGGGAGAGAGGAGAGATTCCAGCTGAATGGTGTGAATCGGTAATCATACCGATTTTCAAGAAAGACGACGGGTCCTCCTGTGAAAACCACAGAGGAATTAGTTTAATCAACATTACCTCTAAACTTTCAGCCGGCATCATACTTCAACGATTGTCTGCCGCACGTGAACGGTGCATGCGTGAGAACCAGGCTGATTTTAGACCCGGTCGAGGTTGTATCGACCACATCTTCACCCTGCGCCAAATTCTGGAGCACCGGCATTCTTTTCGTAGACCCACCATCTCTGTCTTCCTAACCAAATTCTGGAGCACCGGCATTCTTTTTGTAGACCCACCATCTCTGTCTTCCTAGATCTGAACGCGGCTTTTGACTCAGTCGACCGCTCTAAACTCTGGCGCTGCCTTTTTATGAAAGGTGTGCCCGAGAAGCCTGCGCCAAATTCTGGAGCACCGGCATTCTTTTCGTAGACCCACCATCTCTGTCTTCCTAACCAAATTCTGGAGCACCGGCATTCTTTTTGTAGACCCACCATCTCTGTCTTCCTAGATCTGAACGCGGCTTTCGCCACCATCTCTGTCTTCCTAGATCTGAAAGCGGCTTTCGACTCAGTCGACCGCTCTAAACTCTGGCTGTCTTTCTCTGAAAGGTGTGCCCAAGAAGTTAATTTCAATATTGCGATCGCTTTATACTAATAGCCGAAGTCGA